AGAGGCTTAGCTTAACAGGCAGCCACAAGGCGGTGATGAATCTTGGGGTGACTGGGGTCTTTTGTTAACCAGTCCCAGGCCCAGTGCAGGTGGCAGCTGCAAGGTATACAGCTTGGCTTCTCCCACACACACCCAGGCCAAGCACAGACAGCTACTAACCACAGATCGCCTTATAGCTCCTATAGGTAGCACAGGGCCTGTCACAGGCAGCATTTGAAAATAACATGTACTTGAGTCCCCCACAAGAGGCCCCATAAACAACACATAGGTGCGCTAGCTTCAGACCACAAAAGAACACAAACCAATTGGCTCCAGAAATGGGACACCCAAAGGGAGGTCTCAGCAGGCACCAGACCCTACTGGGGTGAATTCGGATTCATAGGGTAGTCCCCTGCATAGCAGCTTATACACTATGGACAGTGTCAATACTCACAGTTAGAAAGCCAGAAGTTCAAAACTACAAACATATGGGTAACAACAATCAAACATCAACTAAAACAGGAGGACTCACATAGTCCATAAAAGGGACATTAATGGAGCACCCAGCTCAGGTGATCAAGGAGACTGCACCATTGAGCCCCACAGGATACCTAATACATAAGGCCATCTTAACAAGACTGGGAGACATAGCACATCTACTAAATACACAGAAACACAGGGAGACAGCCAAAATGGGAAGACAAAGAAACAAGACCCCCCCCCCAAAAAAGAAAAAAATCTCAAGTAATGGAACCAACTAAATTAAAGGCAAGCAATCTACAAGATACAATGTTCAAAACAATGGTTATAAGAATGTGAAAGAAGTTAGTGAGAACTTCAACAGCATAAAAAAGTATCAGTCAGAAATGAAGAATATGAAGAATACAATATCTGAAATGAAGAATACATAAGAAGAAATGAGAATCAGATTAGATGAAGCAGAGGACAGATAAGCGATTTGGAGAACAAGGTAGCAAAAAACACCAAATCAGAGCAGTAAAAAGACACAAGAATTTGTTAAGATAAGTAAAATGTAAGGGATTGCTAGGACAATATCAAGCATAACAATATCTGCCTCATAGGCATACCAAAAGAAGTAGAGAAAAAGGAAGGGATTGAGAACCTATTTGAAGAAATAATTACTGAAAACTTCCCTAACCTGGTGAAGGAAAAAGACACAAGTTTAGGAAGCACATAGAGTCCCAACAAGATGAATCCAAAGAGGCCTACACCAAGACACATCATAATTAACATGGCAAAGTTTAAAGAGAAAGAGAGGCACTTAAAAGCAGCAGGAGGAAAACAGTTACTTAAAAGGGAGCTTCCATAAAACTGTCAACTAATTTGTCAACAGAAACATTTCCAGCCAGAAGAGATTGGCACAAAATATTCAAAGTGAAGAAATGCAAGGACCCAGACTATTCTACCCAGCAAAATTAAATAAGAAAGATTATCTCAGACAAGAAAAAGCTAAAGAAGTTGAAAGTAAGATTATCTAAGACAAGAAAAAGCTAAAGAAGTTCATTAGGAAAAAAACAAAAAAACAAAACAAACAAACAGTATGACAAGAAATATTAAAGAAACTCACTTAAGAAGAAAGAAAAAAACATAAATATTAATAATAAAATGGCAGTTAAGTATGTACCTATCAATCATCACTTGAAATGTAAATGGATTAAAACACTCAATCAAAAGGCATAGGGTAGCTGAATGGATAAAAAATAAGACGCACATATATGCTGTCTACAAGAGACCTACTTCAGATCAAAAAAACATGCACAGACTGAAATTAAAGGGATCGAAAAACATATTTCAAGAAAATGGTAATTACAATACTTATATCAGACAAAATAGAGTTTAAAACAAAAGCTATAGCTAGCCGGCATTGCTCCATGGTTGAGCATCGACCTTTGAATCAGGAGGTCACAGTTCGATTCCTAGTCAGGGCATATGCCCAGGTTGCAGGCTCAATCCCCAGTGTGGGGTGTGCAGGAGGCAGCTGATCAATGATTCTCTCTCCATCATTGATGTTTCTATCTCTCTCTCCCTCTCCCTTCCTCTCTGAAATAAATAAAAATATTTTTAAAAACAGAGGCTATAAAAAGAGACAAAGAATAATATTATAAGTATAATGATAAAGGGAAGATATAACCCTTGTAAACATTTATGCACTCAACAAAGGAGCATCCTAATATATAAAAGCCCAGGGTAGTAACGACCAAAGGCTGACCAAACCAAAAGTCCTTCAGTCAGGACTGGGTTGCCGTGGCGACCCGGCACTGACTGCCCAGGGGGCTGAGACCCAGAGAGAGAGAGGCAGGGTCTGATCCACAGCCTCAGTGGAAGCTGTTGATCAGTTCTTGCCTCTTTCTTTCTCTCCCTCTTTTTTTCCAGGCTTCGCCAGCAGCCAAGCCTTTCTTTCTCTCCCAGACTCTGCGGGGGCTGCTGTTCAGCCCCGCCTCTCTGATCAGGCCCAGAGATAGGCCCAGAGATACTGACTGGCATAGAAACCGACCAATCAGTACCAAATGTGGGTGCTCTGAAGAACCAATGGCTGCTTAGGAGGCAGAGCTTTTGATGTTGATTGGCATAGGAACCAACCAATCAGAACCAAATCTGGGTGCTATGAAGAACCAATCGCTGTCTAAAAGGTGAAGCTTTTGATGCTGGTTGGCATAGGAATCACCAATCAGAACCAAATGTGGGTGCTATGGGGAGCCAATGGCTGCCTAGGAGGCGGAGCTTCTGATGCTGACTGGCATAGAAACTGACCAATCAGAACCAAATTGGCCAGCAGAGGAGGGCAGTTGGGGGCGAGATCAGGCTGGCAGGGGTGGGCAGTTGGGGGCAACCAGGCTGGCAGGCAGGTGAGTGGTTAGGAGCCAGCGGTCCCAGATTGCGAGAGGAATGTCCACAGGGATCGGGCCTAAACCAGCAGTCAGACATCCCCGAAGGGGTCCCCAGTTGGAGAGGGTGCAGGCTGGTCTGAGGGAACCCCCCTCCTCCATGTACGAATTTCGTGCATCAAAGCAAGTATTGATGGACATAAGGAGAGAGGTCTACAGTAATAGTCATAGCAGGGGTTTTATTTTTATTTTATTTTATAGCAGGGGATTTTAATACCCCATTGACATTAAAGGATAGATTTACCAGACAGAAAATCAATAAAAAAACATAATAAAGCAATATATAACAAACCTATACCCAGAATCATAATCAATGGGCAAAAACTAAAAGCATTTTCCTTAAAAACAGGAATAAGATAGGTCTTTTCACTTTCACCACTCTTATTCAACATAGTACTGGAAGTTCTAGCCACAGTGATCAGAAAAGAAGAAAAAACAAAAGGCATTTAAATTGGAAAAGAAGAAGTAAAACTGTCATTATACGCAGATGACATTACATTGTACATAGAAAACCCTAAAGAATACACCAAAAATTACTAGATTCAATAAATGAATTCAGCAAAGTAACAGGATATAAAGTCAACATTCAGAAATTGATGGCATTTTTATACAGCAATAATAAACTCTCAGAAAGAGAAACTAGAAAAACAATCCCATTTACCATTGCAATGAAAAAAAAATAAGATACCTTCTTAGGAATAAACTTCAAAAATTGAAGAAAAGACCTATACTGGAAAAACTACCAGGCTTTGAAAAAAATAGAGAGATACAAACAAGTGAAAACATATACCATATTCATTGATGGGGAAGAACTAACATAATTAAAATGTCCAAACTACTCAAATCAATCTATAGATTCAACGCAATTCCAATTAAAATACCATCAGCATACTGATTGATGTTTCTATCTCTCTCTCCCTCTCCCTTCCTCTCTGAAATAAATAAAAATATTTTTAAAAACAGAGGCTATAAAAAGAGACAAAGAATAATATTATAAGTATAATGATAAAGGGAAGATATAACCCTTGTAAACATTTATGCACTCAACAAAGGAGCATCCTAATATATAAAAGCCCAGGGTAGTAACGACCAAAGGCTGACCAAACCAAAAGTCCTTCAGTCAGGACTGGGTTGCCGTGGCGACCCGGCACTGACTGCCCAGGGGGCTGAGACCCAGAGAGAGAGAGGCAGGGTCTGATCCACAGCCTCAGTGGAATAGATACATGCAAAAAGAAAAGGAAACTAGACTACCAACTTACACTATATACAAGAATAAACTCAAAATGGATAAAAGACTTAAATGTAAGTAGTGAAACCATAAAAAATCCTAGAAGAAATCATAGGCAATAAAATCTTAGATATCTCATGTAACAGAATTTTCACCGATACACCTCCTCGGGCAGTGATGGCGAACCTATGACACGCGTGTTAGAGGTGACATGCGAACTCATTTTTTTGGTTGATTTTTCTTTGTTAAATGGCATTTAAATATATAAAATAAATATAAAAAATATAAGTCTTTGTTTTACTATGGTTGCAAATATCAAAAATTTTCTATATGTGACACGGCACCAGAGTTAAGTTAGGGTTTTTCAAAACGCTGATACGCTGAGCTCAAAAGGTTCGCCATCACTGTCCTAGGGCAAGAGAAACAAAGGGAAAAAGTAAACAAATAAAGACTGGATAAAAATAAAAAGCTTCTGCACAGCAAAAGAAACCAGCATCAAAATGAAAAGGTAACCAATTGATTAGGGTAACATATTTACCAATGATACATCCAATAAGGAGTTAATTTCCAAAATATATAAAGAACTCATACAAATTAACAAAAGGAAGACAAACAATCCAACTAAAAAATGGACAGAAAACCTGAATAGACAACATCCCCAAAGAGGACATACAGATGGCCCAGAGAAATATGAAAAAATGCCCAATGTCACTAATCATCAAAGAAATTCAAATTAAAATTACAGTGAGGTATCACCTCATACTTGCCAGAATAGTTACCATCAATAAATCAACAAACCACAAGTGCTGAGGAGGATGTGGAGAAAAGGGAACCCTAGTACACTGCTGGTGGGAATGCAGACTGGTGCAGCCACTGTCAAAAACAATATGGAGAGGGAGTTCTGTGAGAGCCACTCGACCTCGCTCTGGAGCTGCAGGTCCCAGCATGGTCGACCAGCCCGGTGCTGTGGTCCAGGAGGACCCATGGATGTCCGCCCAGGCCCTGGACAGGCTGCTGAAGATGCCTCTTCCACTGCCACGGATTCGCAGGAGGACCCATGGATGTCCGCCCAGGCCCTGGACAGGCTGCTGAAGATGCCACTTCCACTGCCACGGATTCGCACCCGGCCCTGGTGGTTTCCTGTGCTGGAGCTGAGAGACCCATTGGTGTTTTACCTGGAGGCATGTCTGGCTGACCCCATCTTCGGCAAAAACGGAGTCATGATTTCGGAAATAGAGTGGATGAACCAGGTCCTGCTGACGGTGGAAAAGGTGAACTCAGGAAGCTTAATCGAAATCACTGTTTTCGGACAGCCCCGTGTCCAAAATAGGGTGAAAAGCGTGCTCCTGAGCCTGGCAGCAAGGCACCGGGGAAACCATGCCCGAGATAAGAAGATGAAACAACTGGAGAAGTTCTTGAAGGCCCATGGGTCACCTCCCCCGACTCCCCAGTCTCCCCGGTCTCGGTCTCCTGTCGCATGATATTGGCAGGAGCATTATGAGAACCGACCTGCTCCTGAAGTTCAAAAGAAGCAAGTGTACTTAAATCTCAGCTTCTTTCTTTCTTTTTTGCTGGATGAATGGTGGTTTGGTTATTCTGATGCAGATGTGAGTGCTGTTGTAATAAAATGAATTTCCTTTTTGTCCACTGGCAAAACAAAAACAAAAAAAAACAATATGGAGATTTGTGAAAAAATTAAAAATGAAACTGCTTTTTGACCCAGCGATCCCACTTCTGGGGATATATTCTAAGAATCCCAAAACACCAATCAGAAAGACTATATGCACCTTTATATTCATAGCAGCATTATTTACAATAGCTAAGATCTGGAAAAAGCCCAAGTGGCCATAATGAGTGGATAAAAAAGCTGTGGTACATTTACACAATGGAATACCATGTGGTTATAAATAAGAAGGATCTCTTACTGTTCCAACAGCATGGATGGACCTGGAGGTTATTATGCCAGTCAGAGGAAGATAAATAGTAGTATCACATGATCTCACTTATGCATGGAAGCTAATGAACAAAATAAACTGATGAGCTAATAGGTCCAGAGACATGGAAGCATGCAACAGACTGATAGATCTCTGATGGAATGGGAAGTGGGAAGAGATTAACCAAAGATCTTATATGCACACATGCATAATCCATGGACACAGACAATAGTGCGGTGAATTCCTGGGGTGTGGCAGGTGCTGTGGGAAGGAGAGCCAAGAGGGGTGAGTGAGGGACATACATAATAGCCTAGCCCTAGACAATAAAAATAAATTTTAAAAAACCTGTAACCAGACTCATCAAGAAATAGAGATCGAGAACTCAAATAAATAAAATAAAAAATTGAAGAGGAAAAGTTACAACTGACACCAAGAAATACAAAGGAATATAAGGAAATACTATGAGCAACTTTATGCCAAAAATTGGACAATATGAAATAAATGGATAAATTCCTAGAAATATGCAATCTTCCCAGATTGAATTAAAAAAGAAAAACAGAAAGTCTGAACAGTCTAATTAAAAGCAATAAAATCAAGGCAATAATAATAATAATAAAACACTCCCAAGAAACAAAAGTCCTGGATTAGATGTTTGCATAGGTGAATTTTATGAAACAGTCAAAAAACTAACACTTAATCTTCTCAAACTATTCAAAAAATATTAAGAAGAAGGAACACTCTTAAGCTCATTGTATAATGCCAGCATTATCCTAATTCCAAGACAAGATAAAGACACTACAAAGAAAAAAATACAGGCCAATATCCCTAATGAACATAGATGCAAAATATTTCAAGAAAATATTAGTGGACCAAATCCAGAAATATATGAAAAAGCTCATACACCATAATCGAGAAAGATTTATTCCTGGGATGCAAGAATGCTTCAATATTCACAAATCAATTGATGTGATACACCACATAAAAAAAATGAAGGATAAACATCATATGATCATATCAATAGATGCAGAAAAAGCACTTGACACAATCCAGCACCATTTGTGACAAAAACTCTCAGCAAAGTGGGACTAGAGGGAACAAACCTCAAAATAAAAAAGGCCATATATGACAAATCCACAGCCAACATCATACTCAACAGGGGAAAACTAAGTGTTTCCTTTAATATAAAAAAAATAGGGTGGCAAAGGCCTGGGTTGGGGGGCACTGGTGGGCTGGGAGTGATCAATGGGGGGGAAGGGGGACTTATATAATACTTTCAACAATAAAGATTTTAAAAAGAAAAGAGAATAGCTTATCACCTGCCTGTGGAGAACCTGTGTCCCTGAGCTACCTGATTTATTTATTTTTTAATATATTTTATTGATTTTTTTACAGAGAGGAAGGGAGAAGGATAGACAGTTAGAAACAGAGAGAAACATCGATCAGTTGCCTGCACACCCCAGACAGTTAGAAACAGAGAGAAACATCGATCAGTTGCCTCCTGCACACCCCTCACTGGGGATGTGCCTGCAACCAAGGTACATACCCTTGACCGAAATCAAACCTGGGACCCTTCAGTCTGCAGGCTGACGCTCTATCCACTGAGCCAAACCGGTTAGGGCGCTACCTGACTTATTGACCTTATTTCATGATTTGTACAAAGTCTCTCAGGGTGTATGTATGTGAAAGGCTTATACATAGTCAAAGAATTACAAGACTAAAATAGTTTTAAGAAATCTTCAACATACTTGTTTCTCTTGCAGTGATTTCATTTCAGATTGATTTGATATTCAAATAGATTTTAAACTTAGAGTTGAAGGGAGTGGTATAGTCCAGCCTTGCAGGCATCAGTCAAAGGGTGAAGGAAGGGGAAGGGCTGGTATTTTTCATCACTGGGACAGGAATGAAAAGGAATCTGGAGATAAAACGTGCAATAGAAAATATTAGAGACCTGGTGCACAAAATTTGTGTACAGGTAGGGTCCCTAGGCCTGGCCAGCCATCAGGGCCAATTGGAGCCTTCCGGCTGCCCGCCAGGGCCTTCCTTACCTGGCTGCCAGCTGCCCACCAGGGCCTTCCTTCGTTCCGTGCCACTCCCTGGTGGTCAGCGCATGTTATAGCGAGCATTCGAACTCCCAGTCTCCTGGTCGAACTCACAAGGGGACACTTTGCATATTAGCCTTTTATATATATAGACTGCAACTTTCAACTCCCTTAAAATGATTATGCAGTTCAGATAGGGTAGGTCAGCTAAGTAGCTCCATCAGCCTTAGCAGATACAATCAACCAGGCATATGTTATAACTTTGTAAACTTTTTACTTGATAAATTTTGACATCGGTATATATCTGTGAAATCATCACCATGATCGAGAGTATGAATATGTCTATCACCTCCAAAAGTGAAACAAATTCTTTTATTTTTTTAAGAGTTTGGAAATGGTTTCTTATTATTTTTTTTAAAAGATATTTTTATTAATTTCAGAGAGGAAGGGAGATGGAGAGAGAGATAGAGACATCAATGATGAGAGAGAATCATTGATCGGCTGCCAAGCCTGCAACCAGGCATATGCTCCTGACCGGAATCGAACCTGGGACCTTTCAGTACACAGGCTGATGCTCTATCCACTGGGCCAAACCAGCTAGGGCAAACAAGTTCTTAATGGAGAAAAATACTGTTGAATGAATCTGGTTAGCAGAGCAACGTGACAAAAAAGTAAATAAACAAAATATAAAATAAAATAAAATAAAATAAATAATTTTTTTTT